TGGCCGTGAGGGCCCTTCATCTCAGTCAGAAGCACTCTGCCGTCGATCAGTGACCGATGGACAACCGAGGAAAAGTTACGCGCGAACACTTTACTGATAGCCGTAATCACGCCACCAGCGCCTGCAATGTCAGGGAAGAAGGGGTAGCCAAACTGGTGAGAGGGAAGTTGAAGAGAGAGATGATCAATATCACCTGGGTGACCATGGGTCTCTTGGGTAACAACAATATCGTGGGAGTGACAAAGACGTTCGAACATGGACATCTTCTTCTGAGCACGATCCTGACGCAACGACTGCATAGACATGATCATACCACCAGCGTTCCAAGAACAGGTGGAGAAAGGGGAGGGAGGGCATAACGGAAAGTTAAAATCATGGGCCGACGACTCGCACGGTGCTGGCTGCATTGTACAAACAGAGGCTGCGGACACAAGATTCGAAAAAAAACAACAGGCATGGCAGGCTCATAACACTCAGCTGAATCGCGTGCATCCCCATTGATGTCGCTCCCTATGTTCAGCAGAGGCGGAACCTGGTCTGTCCTGGTCGTTGGTGTCCGCCATACCCCATCCTACAGGTACGGTGTGTTCTCAACGGCAATGTCGATGATGAAATCAATCTCTGCATCGGTGAACTTCCACTGATACAACTCATCACGATTGGGAACGATGACGAACTGGCCCTCCTCTGTCTTCAAAGTGAACAGGGTCCACGAGTCCGCATCCGTCGACATCTGAAAACGACCAGAGCCAAAGCCAGAGCAGCCCATCCTCAGCGAGCCGTTCCAGAGGCCCTTGTTCGTCAGTTTCACCCTCATCGGCTCCCATAGGCACGAGAGTGCACTCTTCCTCAGCCGAGCAGGGAGAGGGATGTCACCTCGAACTCGAATGGGGAACGTCTTTGCTCTATCACGATAGTCATTCCATTGCGACGGGGACGTGAAAGCCCACTGCTTGAACCGATTCGCAGCTTCCTCCGTCTCAAAGACCACCGAGTAGGAACGGCTCGTACGCTGGAACGATGGCTGTGTATTAGTGATCATGTCCTGGGGCACCTGAGTCTTATACCACTCCCAGTGCTCCTTCCGATATTGTGAAAGCACCTCACGCGGCCATCCTCCAATCCAAATCCTACAGGGGTTGCGCATGTCTTTCTCATTGTTTTGAAGCGCGTCAGTGAACATCTCAGGCATGGGTCCTGTCGCAGGGCGCTTACGCCTGGAAGTGCCCCCACTGTCCGAACTCGCAGCCGTCGATGGTGTACGTGAAATCGCCGAAATTATTGATAATTGCTCTTGGATGTTCTCAAACTTGGCTTCCATCTTCTTCTCAACTTCATCGGGCGCCTGGCGACCTGCCGAACCTTCAGGGCAGTCATGCCAGCCATTGCCGTCGTCAACCACAATCGCTGAGCCCGTGATCTGCTGGAAGCGTGCCTCCCAGCTGGCTGACATGGAGGTCACCATCGTTTGCATCTCCTGCACCGTCGATACTTGCTGCGCTTGAAGTCCCTGGATCTGAATCTCCAAGGCGCCGGTCCTGTCGTTAGCCGCTCCTATTGCTGTGAGCAACTCACTCTTCATCGAACCAAGTGCAGCCAGGACCTCTGAGCTCGACATCACGGCCGAGAACGAAACAGGAGTAATTCGTGGAATGGTCCCTGGAACCAGAAAGAAAATGTGAGGACTACCCTCGGGACGCTCGGGCAAACCCCTTGGCTGCGTCCAAGTTCGAAGCGCCAGGGCAACGTTTCGAACTTGAGCCAAAATGGCTACGGACCTGAGCGAGGACAGTATTCGCAAACCATATTATTTATCAGGTTTCGTGCCCCTTCCCACCCCTCCAGGGAGGCCCCGCCAGAGCGAGGACAGTATTCGCAAACCATATTATTTATCAGGTTTCGTGCCCCTCCCACCGCTCCAGGGAGGCCCCGCCAGAGCGAGGACAGTATTCGCGAACCATATTATTTATCAGGTTTCGTGCCCCTCCCACCCCTCCAGGGAGGCCCCGCCAGAGCGAGGACAGCATTCGCGAACCATATTATTTATCAGGTTTCGCGCCCCTCCCACCTCTCCAGGGAGGCTCCACCAGAGCGAGGAGGGTATTCGCGAACCATATTATTGATCAGGTTTCGTACCCCTCCCACCCCTCCAGGGAGGCCCCGCCTGAGCGAGGAGGGGCCCCTGCCACCCCTCCAGGAAGGGTATACGAATACCATATTATTTATCAGGTTCCGTGCCCCTCACAACCCTGCAGGGAGGTCCCGCCTGAGCGAAGAGGGTATACGAAAACCATACTATCTATCAAGTTTCGTGCCCCTCCCACCCCTCCAGGGAGGCCCCGCCTGAGCGAGGATGGTAGACGAAAGCCATGCTACTTATCCGGTCTCGTGCCCCCCTCACCCCTCCAGGGAGGCCCAGCCAGAGCGAGGAGGGTACACGAATACCATACTATTTAGTCGAAGGTGCGCTATGTAAATACCTTCTGCGTGGCCCGCCCACACTGCGCGCGCGAAGGTCCCCGCTTTTGTGCTGTCGTTCCGATTTGCACTATCTTGGCCGCGTCGTGTACGCGAGGTGTTCCCCAAAACATTTGCCTGCACATCGCCATCGCCAATTGCAGTCTTCGTCGCCCCCGTCACCCGGCCATCCTCGTCGACCCCTCCCCCCGCACCTCCGCCTCTTCCTCTTCCTCCTGACTAAGCCCGCGCCCTATTAAAACGCCCATGTGGGGAACTCCGCTAGCATAATTTGTTTAATGTTCTTCCCAACCATCCTGTGGTGTTGGGTCCTCGTTTTGAAGAGACAGCGCCCCGCGTCTCCTTCCCTCCCTCCTTCCTCCTCCCCCTCCTCCCTCCTCCCCCTCCTTGCCTCTGCTCTCGGCACACCTCTCACACGCTTCGTAGCCCCATAGGGAGCTCCACCGAAGGCCCCAGTGGGGGTGTCCGCATGCGGTTCCCCCACCCAGGGCAGCGTTTCGTGGCCCCATAGGGAGCTCCACCGAAGGCCCCAGTGGGGGTGTCCGCATGCGGTTCCCCCACCCAGGGCAGCGTTTCGTGGCCCCATAGGGAGCTCCACCGAAGGCCCCAGTGGGGGTGTCCGCATGCGGTTCCCCCACCCAGGGCAGCGTTTCGTGGCCCCATAGGGAGCTCCACCGAAGGCCCCAGTGGGGGTGTCGCATGCGGTTCCCCCACCCAGGGCAGCGTTTCGTGGCCCCATAGGGAGCTCCACCGAAGGCCCCAGTGGGGGTGTTCGCATGCGGTTCCCCCACCCAGGGCAGCGTTTCGTGGCCCCATAGGGAGCACCGAACCCAGAAGGCCCCAGTGGGGGTGTTCGCATGCGGTTCCCCCACCCAGGGCAGCGTTTCGTGGCCCCATAGGGAGCTCCACCGAAGGCCCCAGTGGGGGTGTCCGCATGCGGTTCCCCCACCCAGGGCAGCGCTTCGTGGCCCCATAGGGAGCTCCACCGAAGGCCCCAGTGGGGGTGTCCGCATGCGGTTCCCCCACCCAGGGCAGCGCTTCGTGGCCCCATAGGGAGCTCCACCGAAGGCCCCAGTGGGGGTGTCCGCATGCGGTTCCCCCACCCAGGGCAGCGTTTCGTGGCCCCATAGGGAGCTCCACCGAAGGCCCCAGTGGGGGTGTCCGCATGTGGTTCCCCCACCCAGGGCGGCGCTTCGTGGCCCCATAGAGAGCTCCACCGAAGGCCCCAGTGGGGGTGTACGCATGCGGTTCCCCCACCGAGGGCAGCGTTATGAATGGCTGTTTGTTCTTCCACGCGCAACAAAAACACCAAGCCGAAGAGCAGCTGCCACCCGTCGGGATGCAACGCCGAAGTGCGCTGGCCAAGCGGGATGAAGGACTCGAGATCAGAAGCCAGTCCTGGGGAAGGGGCAAGGTCAGATCAGTCAGCACCGAACTGGGACCCGGATCGAATCGTAATGTGCGTCGGATCGGGCTGCATCGGCACGGGATCGACATCGAATCGATCCCGCCGAGCCAGGACGCGCAACAGCACCGTGGAAGCATCGGGCTGGATCCGATCGCGAGAATGTGTGAATCGGATCATATCAGATCGGGTCGGCCAGAATCGATGTCAAGTCGGATCGACTGGATAGAAATAAAACTACGGTCGAGACCTGCGGAGGTGAACAAAAACACAGCGTCGGGGTCTTGAGGAGGAAATCGGCCAGGACGGAGGGAGCGACGGCAAGCGGAGAGCAGTGAAGCGGCAAACAGGGACCTCGAGTGGAAGATGCGAGGGGGCGAGGAAGAGAAACAGGCAGGAGAAGGGGAAGGGAATGGGTGAGGAGGCGGAGGAGGAACTAGCTGGTCCTGCCGCTGCGACCAGCGTGGGAGAAGCTGACGGAGGAGACCCAGAGAGAGAGAGACAGGAACAGAGAGAGAGAGAGAGATAGAGAAAGAAATGACAGAGAGAGGGAAAGAGAGAGAGAGAGAGGGAGACAGAGACACAGAGGGGGAGAGACAGAGAGAGAAAGCGAGAAACAGCGAGAAGGAGAGAGAGAGAGAGAGCGCGAGGGAACAAATTAAGGGGCACCGAGAAAGAGAGATGGAGACAGAGACATAGAGGGGGAGAAAGAGAGAGAGAGAGAGAAACAAAAAAAAACATAAGGATATACAGAGAGGGCACCGAGAACGAAACACTAAGAACGAGAGAGGGAGAGAGAACGAGTTATAATGAGAGAGAGGGAACGAGAGAGGGAGACAGAGACAGGGACAGAGAGACAGAGAGAGAGACATAGACACAGAAGGAAAGACAAACAACAACATACTATAACAAAGGGAGCGAGAGAAAGAGAGAGAGAGAGAGAGAGAGAAAGAAAGCAACAGAGAGAGAGGTAGAGAGAGAGAGAGAGAGAAACAAAAAAATATGATTAGAAACAGCGATGGAGAGAAAGAGAAAGAGAGAGAGAGAGAGAGGACGATTGAAGCGAGACAGAGCGAGAGAGAAAAGAGAGTGGTGAAAGTCACGAATAACAGGCGGCCTGTGTCCCAGAGCCCTCGTCGTCCTGGCAGGTAGTCTCAGCGTCTGGCAGAGTCACTGGAGGCGGCTATTTTAAACCTTGCAGGCGCACATATTCCTCCTCCATCCCTTCCCCATCTGAACAACTATGCCTTGTCGCGCCCACTGTCGCTTGACTTCCTGACCATTTGATATTCTGAAGCTTGAATTGTAACACACACACAAGGACGGAGAGGGTAGTTCTTCAAATTGAGCTCTCGCCCCAGTGCCGCTGCAGTCCGTCCTGAAATCATGCGACGAATAATAGGATGGAGGTGGGTGGAATGCAAATCGCCCCAGCGACGTCACGATTCATCCTGCCAGCTTGCAACAGCCACAAAGATGAAAGGAGGTCAGTTCTTGACGTGAGAACCGAAACTTTCGTGATGAGAGGAGGGAGGTGGGAAGATACAGGGCATGAGCGATGGCACCCGAATGCCATAAACGAGGCATTCGGCCGCCTGCGCCTAGCGTTATGTCGCCCCGAACATGAAAAACTGCTGAAATCTTCGCTTCTCGGCGGTGGACAAACCTCCCTTTCGTAAACCTCCCCTTCGTGAAACGGCCTGGGACCGAAACCGACGGACCTGGACCCGCAACAATGACGGCAGCGACGCCCTCTCGCGAACCGAAAACGGCCAATTCCTTAGTCGACGAGTTGGGGTAGAAGGTCTATCCACCTCCGAGTTCCTTTAAGGAGTTCGACAATCGGCTACACGCAAGAGTGACCCTGGGTAAGAGTGACCTCTGGTGCGCGGCTTTTTGGGGGCCGCGGGGGGGCCAACCCTGGGCGCGCAAGCCGCTGCTCCTGCTATGTTTTCAGCCATCTGGGGACCCATCTGTGCCCGCACCAAAGGTCACTCCGGCAAAAGGTCACTCTTACGTCTAGTCGAGACAAGGATCTCGAGGTGAACCCGACCGCGGCGCCGAGGGCTCTCCGGCACGAGCCGCGGCCTCGGCGTCTCTCCCCCTGCGGACGATATGTCCTCCTGCTGGCCCCGCCCCTCCCATGATGCGGGGGAGCGTTAGGGGTGGTACCGGCTCAGGGGGGGGAAACTGAAGGGGCCCTGGGACACACAAATAAATACACACAAATAGCATGATTCCCCATGTTTTCCAATATTTTCTGGAATTCTGTCGTCCCAAAACTTCCCAGATTCTCCTACATTTTCCTGGGGCTCGACGATAAATTGTGTCTGTATGTGTTTTTCTCCTCCTGGGAAACGTCGACCTGGAACCGGCGATGCATCGCCGATAGGTCGATGACAGGCCCCCGACAGCGAAAAACCGCACGCTCCTGGGCGGGGTTGGCCATCGGGCTCCCATCTGGGCGATTGGGGGTCGATGCATACCCCCCTTAGCCTATCCCCACCCTACCGTTTGCCCGAACCCACCCCGAAAGAAGCGGTGTCGTTCTGGCTGCACTCCAGCGCTCGCGTCGGCCACCAGCTGGCGGACGCGGAACCTGCGCGGGAGCCGCAAGCCCGCAGGGCCGGGCCTTCTCCTCCTCCTCCTCCTCCTCCTCCTCCTCCTCCTCCTCCTCCTCCTCCTCCTCCTCGATGTCCTCCTCGATCTCCGTCCTCAGTCCCATCCTCCTCCTCCTCCTCCTCCTCCTCCTCCTCCTCCTCCTCCTCCTCCTCCTCCTCCTCCCCCTCCTCCCCCTCCTCCCACTCCTCCCACCTCCTCCTCCTCCTCCCCTCCTCCTCCTCCTCCTCCTCCTCCTCTCCTCCTCCTCCACCTCCTCCTCCTCCTCCTCCTCCTCCTCCTCCTCCTCCTCCCCTCCTCCCATATTCCCCCTCCTCCTCCTCGTCCTCCTCCTCCTCCTCCTCCTCCTTCCTCCTCCTCCTCTCCTCCTCCCTCCTCCTCCTGCAAGTTACGATATATTGGTATGTATGCCTCAAGACGTTGCCTTTATACCTCCTTCCTCCTCCTCCTCCTCCTCCTCCTCCTCCTCCTCCTCCTCAACATCATCATCATCATCATCATCATCATCATCATCATCATCATCATCATCATCATCAGCAGCATCATCAGCATCATCATCATCACCATCTTCATCATCATCCATCATCATCATCATCATCATCAGCATCAGCATCATCATCATCATCATCACCATCATCGTCACCATCAGCAGCATCATCAGCAGCATCATCATCAGCATCGTCAGCAACATCAGAACCATCATCATCATCAGCAGCAGCAGCATCATCAGCATCATCATCGTCATCATCAGCATCAGCATCATCATCATCACCATCAACATCAGCAGCATCAGCAACATCATCAGCATCAGCATCATCAGCATCGTCATCAGCAGCAACATCATCAACATCAGAATCAGCATCAGCATCATCATCAGCATCATCATCATCAGCAGCAGCATCGGTATAAGCATCAGCATCAGCAGCAGTCCAACAACAACAGCATCAGCAGCAGCATCATGATCCTCACCCTCACCCTCATCCTCATCCTCCTCTTCCTGCTCCTCCTGCTCCTCCTCCTCCTCCTCCTTTGGCGTTGCAAGGATTCTAATCGGACGATGGTTGCAGCGTCTGGCTCCCGTCACTGCATTGGGGCGGGGGAATGCGACCAGCAGACTTCCCCGTCGTGGTGCATCACTAGCCCACCATGGCCCTCTGCCCTGGGGCCACGCACCCTGGAGCTGTGACCTTGCCTGCAGGCCTGCACCCTCTCCCCGAGACCTTCGAGACATGCCCCAAGGCCCCGCTGCTGGCTCCCTGCGCAAGTCGTGAAGCAGGGAAGCGGCCAGGGAAGGGGGGGAAAACGCTCCGGGAGCCCGCCTGCCGCCAGGCGGGCGATATCCTCCTGCGCTCTGCGATCTATTGGCCTGCATGCCTCCAGACGTTGCCATCCCCCCTCCTCCTCCTCCTCCTCCTCCTCCTCTTCCTCCTCCTCCCCCTCCTCCTTCTTCTCCCCCTTCTCCTCCAGGCAGGCAAGATACTCGGCCCTTCGATGTCCTGATGGCTCAATGCGTGGAGCCCGGGCTCGTTCGAGGCCCGAACCGCTTTTGTGGACGGCCCCGGGGCCCCGGCTCTCCCGCGTGGCCCCAATCCGATCAAAACCGGCCCGCGGACCCCTCACAGTGTCCGTGCCCATCCCAGCGACGGGAAGCCTCATGGAGGCCCAAGAAGGACGAAGAGTGTCTCGACTGGCACTCGCCCGACAAATCACCAAGAACTGCCCGCCATGACTCTGCCCATGGCGCGGGAAGGTCTGGGGCTCTCCAGCGCAAGCAGTGTCTGGGCACCCCCATGGAAACGGAACATCTGGGCACGATACCCAACAGCAAGCGTTGTCCAAAGCCGACAGAGGACGCTTTCGGGAATGCGACGCTTGCTCCCGAAAGGACAATGCCCGCGGCGGCACAGACAGCGATTCCTGGCCAAAACGGACAGGAACTGCTGTCGGTGTTCGTCCCCGCTCTTTCCGTCCCTGGGGGATAAACAAAGACCCTTCAGAAACGGCCTCGGGACCCAACCCCACAAGCGCAGGCCCGCAAAAATGGCGGCTGCATCACATCCCAAGAAAACTGCAGGGGGCCCTCAGACGGATTCGTACATCGCCTTGGCAGGGTGGGGACTATACCATTTCCCAGGTACCCAGGTACCCTTTTTCGCACGGCAACGCGACCCGATGAGGCAAGCTGGGACACCCTCAGCTTGCCACTTGCAGCGCCCATCTGTGAAAGCGTGAAACCGGAAAGGAAGAAGGAGGAGGAGGAGGAGGAGGAGGAGGAGGAGGACCAGTGTAAGTCCAAGACTCACCAAAGATGTTGGAATACACCCTCCCTTCAAGCTCGGTTCACTTTCACTAAAGCAATTGCCCCGTTGGGGGGCAACTGTGTGAAAAGCCTGAAGCGTGCGAAAACAGCATTCTCAAGACTTCAACGCCTCGAATTAACCTAACTGTTGCGTCGTGGCGGTCCTGAACCGCGCTAGAACCCCACTCCTGGGACTTCAACACCGCGAATCAACGTAACTGTTGCGCCATGACAATCCTGAATCGCTCCAAAACACAATTTCTTGCACGTTAACCGTGGAAACCACGAACACGATTACAAATGCTTAAAACGAATGTGCGCGGCGCGAAGCCGAGAGCTACATTGTGAACACCACCCGCCTTCAATCCGTGCAGCTCGTGCAAATACATACAACGAACAAGCGCGGGGCTAAGGCAAGAACCGCATGTTGCAAACCACCCGCCCTTAATCCGTGAAACTCTGGCAAATTCTTCAAACGAGCAAGCGCGGGACTAAGGCAAGAGCCACATGATGAAAACGACCCGCCCTGAATCCGTGCAACTCTTGCGAACTCTTAAAGCGAATGCGCGCGGCGCTAAGGCGAGATCCACATCTTGATAACCACACCTCTCCAACTCATGAAACTCTCGCAACATGTTACAATGGATGCACGCGGCGCTAAAGCGAGAGTCACACATTGGAAACTAACCGCCCTGCATCTGTGAAACGGCTGCCAGTTTTTAGGCTTCAGGCTGGCAAATGGTAAAGAAATCTCCAGCGAAACGCCCAGCCCGCCATCCCGACTGGCCTCGGGGTACGACACGGAAGACTTTTGTCAGAGGGAAAACGTCTGGAGGAGGAGGAGGAGGAGGAGGACGACGACGACGACGACGACCACCACGACGAGGGAGAGCCGGGGTGCGGAAACTGGAAGACCAAAAAACGGGGCCCGATGCGATGTTCGCCCCGACATGTAAAGAGGGCTATCGATCCCCGAGCGCCGTGTCGATCAGAACCCCCCCCGCGCCAGAGGCAACCGCGGGCCACCTCCCCCCTCCCTGTCGCGCCATGTCCGAGCGCCGGGGCCAGGGGCTCTGAAAACTCTGCGGCGCCCGGCGAGGCGGGCGCGCGGCCGAAAGCCATGGCCTGCGCAGCTGACGGAGGACTCCTCTGGCGCCCAACTTTCTGGGCACACAGCAATCGTGTGTCTTGCGCCCCTCCCGCGTTGGTATTTGATATCGCGTGGATCGTTCAACCTTCAACGATCAGCGGCTGCTCGATCGAAGGATCGCTCCACATTGACTGATTTTGGGCCACTGGCGGCGTCCAATCGTGAACGCCCCCAGCGGGGTCTCCGCCGCGTCGGCACAACGCGAACCTGCCGTACCCCTCCCGGCACGCGCGTCATCCTTGCGCAGGGACCCCTCTAATATTCTCTGCATCGCCCCAACTATAGCAGACTTGTACCGGGTAATCAATAGGGGGTCCAAGAGGAGGAGGGAGGAAGAGGGTCGATATCTGGTGAGCTATAAGCGCCCCAAGTGGTGCAGGGGGTAGAAATCCGTGCTAAGTTGGCGCCGCCCACTTAGCGGAATTAACACCCCCCTCCTCAGCCATCCAGGGTACTTGCAACACGCTTATTCTCCAGGTTCGGCCAGGTACAACCCACCGTAGCATCTACATCTCCCCCGCCTATCCACTTAGGCCCCCCCCCCCGCGGTGATCCAAGCAGACCTGTAGGGCCCCAGGGGACCTCCGAGACATCCGGAGTCCCATCAGGCCCCCACCCGCTCAGAAGAGCATCTGGCGCGTTGCATACATGTGCGGAAATCGGCCAGCCATAGAAGGACCGAGCGTTAAAAAAATAGCCTGGCGAAAAAAATCTAAACACATAAATAAGTTAAGGGGCCTGCGGTACTCATGAACGTTCTGCCGAACACGTCAAACAACGCTTAACGTGCCGCAGCATGCACTCTCACGACACCATGCGGACGCACCCACTGGGGCCATAGGCAGATCTCCCTGGAGAGCAGGAAATGTGTGAGGGGCGTGCGGCATGGGTGGAGCTCCCTGGTGGGAGGGAAGCGTGTGAGGGGCGTGCCGAAAGAGGCGCAAGGACACTATGCGGACGCACCCGCTGGGGCCACAGGCAGAGCTCCCATGGAGAACAGGAAACGTATGAGACGGCGTGCCGAAATGAGCGCGGGGACGCCATGCGGACGTACCCGCTGGGGCCCCAGACGGAGCTCCCTGGGAAGGAGGAAACGTGCAAGGGATGTGCTGACAGGGGCGCGGGGACGGCATGCGGACGCACCCCGTGGGGCCATGGGAAGAGCTCCCTGGGGGGGAAGGAAACGTGCGATGTGCCGAAATTGGCGTGGGGACGCACCCGCTGGGGCCATAGGTGGAGCTCCCTGGGATGCCGGAAAGGTGGGAGAGCTGTTCCGAAATGGGCCCGGGGACGCCATGCGGACGCACCCACCAGGGCCCCAGGTGGAGCTCTCAGGAAAAGTATGAGGGTGTGCCGAAATGGGCGTGGGGACGCCATGCGAACGCACCCACTGGGGCCATAGGTGGAGCTCCCTGGGGGGCAGGAGCCATGTGAGGGGTATGCTGACATGAACGCGGGAACGCCGTGCGGACGCACCCACTGGGGTGCCGAAATGGCCGCGGGGACGCCAATGGGTGGTACTCTCTGCGGG